TACCTGTGGCTCTGCTACCATGCATTACGAGTGATCAGACCACAGATTATGGGATTTCCCAACAGCCGTAAGCTGGCCCTGTGAGCGCTCAGTTCTTTGGGCCAGTTTAGCCCCTCTTAGCACACAAAGCGCTCTTTCAGCTGGTTCCTGCCCCCAATGGTCTGTCCCCAGCAGCGCTGCTCCAGCACCCCCCACACTCTCCAACCTACCTGATTTGTCTCTTTTCCCGAGACAATGACCCATCTTTACCTACATTTATGGTCAGAACACCCCACACTCTCCAGCCTGCCTGCTTTGACACTGACATTTCCCGAGCCACTCACCCTTTCCCTTACCTCCAGCTCAGTCTTTCCGCTCCACAGATGACACATAGCTGTGTAATTCAACCCCAGGTCAGGTTACCTGTACAGCAGCCTGTGCAGTGTGTGTGCATTACAGAGGGCACCTAAGACTGGAGTGTGAGTATGGGTGTCAGTATTAGCAGAGGTTCAGTGTCAGTACAACTTCCTGGGGGTGATGATGAGCATTTGACCAAGTTTAGGACATTAACAGACATGTAAATTGACAGGTAGAAGAGATCTATGAGATCAAAGTGAATGACCGCAACAGCCTCTCAATTTGGGGGGAGGGGGGGGGCGGTAGCTCTGGGTAGCACAACCACAGCCACTGAGCCCTCAGTATTTCCTGCTCTTTCATTGCCTTAGTAACGTGGTTCTCCAAGCAACTCTCTGGACACTTGCCATCCCCAACACTGACAATATACTGTGAAATAAAGGAGGTATTCAGGCAACCGGCATGGTCAGTCACAGGGCCATTTCTTGCTGTTGAAAAGATCAGGGGATAAGTAAAGTTTACCTGAGGCTTGACTTTTTTTTGAAGGAAGATTGGCATCGGGCTAAAATACTTGGGGCTAGGCTTAAAATACTCAGGGCTATAGCCCCAAGTGGTCGGACCCAACGATGCCCATGGTCAGTCAGCACTGGCAGGGCACTCCTGTGCCCGTCACCTGACAGCATCAAGGACCTCTCCTCAGGAATGATCCAGGACTACCAGCTACGATGAACAATGGCTAAAGGCTGACTCTGGCCTTCTCAGACTGCAGTGACCCTGTTTAATTACGCTGACGCTCTACTCCATCAGCCCCAAGTCTCGAGCCCCCAAGCTGACACAGGGGCCTGTCCTCTAATTCTCTGAGTAATTTAGGATGGTTTCAGCAAATAGGGACATTATATCCACTATTCCACTGAAAACCTTTCACATCTAGCAAATTTATGGAGGCCTAGGTAAACTCTTAACCATTAAACCCATACAGCTGGAGTTATAAACTTCCCTAAAGTCCTATTGGCTCATGGACCTGAAAAGCCAATAGAAATGTTTCCTCTGGCACTTGGTGGGGAGTGTGGGCTGGGAAATGACACATATTACATGTTAATGTGCCATACAGGTATTACTAACATGGCTACCCCCTCCTTCTCAGCAGTCAGGAAAGCTAGCTGGGTGTTTAGGGGATCACACTGGGTCAGGAATTTGAGGCAAATGAAAGCCTCAGGGCAGGAGAAAGTGACATCCCTGCCAGCAAGAGCAGTTTTTCATGCCGCCTTAGGGAAAGCCCAGGCATAAATTCTAAATGAATTCAAGGCCATTTCAGAAAATTCACCGGAATGATTCATGGAAATTTTTTTGGCACCACGAGATACTCCACAGGCCATGATCTGCTTGAAATACGACTGGAGTTACGGCCCCCGCCGTTTCGAAGGGCCACATGTCATCATTTATAATGGGCTTTCATAAAATCAAAGAGAGGAACGGACATTTAAAACATACAACTCATACACACCATGTCAGCAGCTTTAAAATGTGAAGTCAGCAATGTATTAAAACAGCGGCCCATCCTGCCTGTCTGCATGGGAAGGTAGAATTACACAAAATCACAGGGCGTATAGGTGCACTGCGTCTTGGCCTCCACCAGTGAAGCAACCACTGCATAAACAGGCCTGTTTCTGCTTTGCCCAAGAGCAAGGAGACATATCATGGTCATTTAATACGGCCCACACTCAAAGCTAGCACAATATCTCCCCCTTGTGGCAGGTCCTCTCAGCAGCAATGTCCACCGACTGACCTACATTTTGCTCCAGTGTTTCATCAATTACCACGGGTCCTTCAGGCAAAACGCTGAGAACCTACAATTATTTGACATTTCCCAAAATAGCTGCACTGACCTTGAGAAACTGCAGAAAACGTGCTCCGTAATTTTTTATCAGAGAGCAGAGAAGAAGGGATTTATAAATCACAAGCCTAATGCATGTAAATCTAAACAGGTATGAAGGCTAGGTGCTAAGACAGGAAACTCCACACATACACATATTTTAACTGGGAGTCTGACAAACTGTGAGAGTGTGTACTGGTCTTGATTTATCTCGCTATGCAATGTTGATTATCATTTCTCCAATACTTTAAACGCTTTCATATTAACAAAAAAAATGTGTTCTGAAAAAAGATAGCTGTGAGTAATGGCCTTTCTATATCGCCCTCTAGTGTTCAATACACTTATGCCTTGTCCACACATACACAGATATTTTTTAAAACGGTGTTTTTCCTCCTCTGTTTAAAAAAAAAATCCCCGTGCACATGAACATTGTCTTCTAAAAAATTATCGTCCACATGAAACCGCTAAAATGCGCTGTCAAAAGCATGCCAAACCAACAGGCGGCATTATAACTCTAACCGTACTGCCCTGTTAGCCAATCAGAAGCCCTATTGCCAGTCCTGTTAAGTTGAAAATCATGGCACACATTTTGACGCCTGTGTTGTTCAATATAATGCGAGAGTGACTCAACAATTATCTGTACACATGTAAGAAGTCCTGTCAGTAAGGTTAGCACAAGCACTATTTCGGCTAAGTCCGCCATTGCTCAAACTCGCCTAATGTATACAGCAAACAGCGCGCGCTCTGACGTTAAACAAAGTGGACAACGGCACACAATCTGACATTTCAAGCCAAAAAGTCTGTTTTCCCTGTCTACATGTCGACGCTGAAAACGGAGTTTCTTAAAATCTTCACCCTGGGTGGAGTTTTGCAAAAGGTCCATTTTCAGTAACCTGAGACGTCGTTTACATGTGGACAAAAGCCCAAGACGAATAGAAATAGGTAGGTTTTAAAATATGCCCGTGTACGAGTGGACAAGGCATTAGAGTACACAAAAGTAGGAACATGGGGCAAGAAAATAACTACAATTAATTTCAAGTAAAGGGTTTGCTGCAATTCATTATATATACACCCAGTAATATGGAGTGGTATTCTGGAAGGCGAGGTCACACCAGTTAAGGCCAAGCATACACAAGTTAACTGCTAAATTAAACATGGAAAATGTCAGGTAAACAAAAAGCATTTGATTTAGGACACCAATCATTACAACACTGGCCTTTTAAGTGTTAGCTAATTGATTTAAATGCCCAGGAACCAAAGACTCATCAGCTTATTGAGGTTTTCACATCCCCAACCTCACTCTAAGCCAGGGGACTTAGGTCCAGGCTCCACAGAGCAGTTACAGGTGGTTAGAAGGTAGGATCACTAACCCTGGAGTTAGAAATATTAATGCCCCCCCCCCCCCGTTTCTAATTCTTAATAGTGTTAGGAGGTCTTCAGCTCTGGCATGTTTTCATTTTAGGCCTCCCTGGTTTGAAAGCCCCACTTTAGATGCCTGCCAAAGCAGCAGGTTAGTGTATAGCCTGAGGTCTGTCCTGTCCCTTCCCGATCCCCGTTGCCCCAAGAAGTGACCCTAAATCCTCTGTGATCCTGCTCCCTGCCCAGCCTCCTATCAGACTGTTCTCAACCCAAGAGACAGCAAATCACAAAGAATGGCATATCAAGCAAATGCCCCGTTATGCACGGTCACGTTTTCACTCAGCAGATATTCTCAAGGATGCTTTACTGGTTTATGTGGCCGAATCCCGAGGGACAGCAGTGCAAATATGCAGGATGGATTCCTAACCCTGAAACCCATCCAGATCTACACTGCGGCCAAGAGCAATCCTGCTAGAAGGATTTTTCAGAACGTAAGGCACTAGTAACACTCTGCTGCACAAACGCCATGTGCTGCTGATGCAGGGGCACATTCAGAGTGACTCAGTTCACAGTGTTGGCCGCTGTTGACCGACATTAGAAGTGCCAGCCCTCATCTGCTCGCAGTCAACTACTCACAGTCAGCTACTCACAGTCAGCTACTCACAATCCATCACTCACAGTCAGTTACTTGCAGCCACAGTCAGTTATTTGCAGTCAGCTATTCATAGTCAAATATTCCCAGTCAGTTACTCCCAGTCAGATACTCCCAATTACTCACAGTCACTTACTCCAGTCAGCTACTCAAAGTCAATTACTTACAGCCTGTTACTCACAGTCAGCTACTCAAAATCAGTGACTAGCAAGCGGTAATTCGCAGCCAGCCAATCAGAGCCACAGTCAATTACTCGCAGTCAGGTACTTGCAGTCAGATGTTGCCTCATGTCCAACTTATTCTACTCCACTGAAATGTTTGTTGAAGAGTGACTAGGGCAGACTGATCACATGTTTACTGATCATACCAGGCTGAAGTGATGATGCTGTGCTCCTCTCTGTATGGGTCATAGCAGAATTCCATGTAACTCGAGTAGTTTACCCACTTACTGTAAGTTTCTTAAAATACCAATGGTATTTAAATGACCTGTCAATCTACATTCAAGGCTGAACCACAGTACTTTAGACCTACTCAGAATATATTCTAGCATACAGAGAACAAATACACATAGTAATAAGGAACAGAATAACAAAACTTTTTAAATTTTTTTTACATTTATTTTTTGCTTTTTTCCCCCATGGAAACAGCATCTCTGTTTCCTCTGTCTGCCAGATCCGTATTATCTCTCACAAGAAAAAACTATGCGGTTCTGTTTCATCGATAAATCCCAAAACATTTTCTCAACTACTGTGGTGTACATTGTACAAGAATGGAAAAACTGTGAAATGATAATCACACATGTTCACTTTAATAAATAAAAACAAATAACTAACAAAAACACAACCTAAAATTACAAAGTGAAATGAAATTGTAAAGGGAGTCCGCAACAAATAAAATATTTATAATATCAAAAAAAAAAAGCTTTTCATAGCTGAATTTATCCATCCATCTTACACAAAATTACTAACTCAAGAAAATGCTTTTTATTATTTCTAGGGTGTTGCATGTGCTTCCTGGGACTGACTCTGGGCTAAATATGACACTGTACTGCAGAATCTAACAGAGAGATAAAGATGGATGGATGGATGGATGGATGGATGGATGGAGGGATGGATGGATGGATAAACGCTAAGCACTTTCATTTCGTACTGAATTCTTTAGGTCCCACTGGACAAATGCCCAACAAAATAGCGATACACAATTGCACTTGTGTGTTTACCAAAAATATCTCTATAAAGATTTTAATCTAGAACTGAACATACATTTATTTAGGGTAATCTATAAATAAATACAACAGGGTATCTGACCAATCAGAAAGTGCAGCACCAGCATGGCCAAGCTGAGGGCTAGATCTGCTAGGGGAAACACTCTCACTTTGTCACACACAATATCACAGTGAGGACTAATCTTCACAGTACCTGTGATTTGTTTGAAAGGTCATAGCTCAAGCTGTAAACAGTCCGCTTTCACTGGACTGATTCCTGTATGTCCACATTCCTATCCTACTTACTCTCACTGAACTTATTAGTTAAGATATTCAAAATACAGGGCAGAGTCCCCTTGAACTCTAAAAAAGGGCACATTTATTCAAGTGTGATCTCTCCTATCTCCACTTATCAAAAACAATCTCAGTAGGAATTAGTGGCTCCATCTAAGATATCCATCTTCCCGCAGGCGTGTTAGTGACCAGGAGGAACACCCCGCCTGCACACGCTTGACCCTCCTTCATCTGTGTCCGCTGTTTCTGAACACTGCTACCTTCCAGAGGAGCTTTCTCAAGACAGCAGGTGAAGCAGTGCTTCAACAAAAAAATGAAAAGAAAAAACATTAATATCACGTAAAATATCTTTTTAATGCCAATGTATCATCACAAAAAGCATTTCCATGAGAAACTACATGTGTGGCAGATCAAAAGAAATCACCCTTAGCTTGATAAAAGGAACTTAAGTGAAACAAAACATTTTCTGCTTCACAAAGCTAATACACATCACTATATTTCGCACCACCTTCTATTTAGTAATTGATAGGATAGTTATGGAATGATATGGGGTGATAAAAAAAGGTGTGACTTCAAAATATGTAGTTTACTTTGGCAATGTATCAACCTACACAAAGCCCAGTGGCAACCTTAGTGAAGACGTGTGTCTCCAGTTAACCAAACACAATGACTGATTGATGCAGTTACATTCTTGGGTCAACAGGAGTTGGCATTTAGGCAACACGATGAGAATGAAAACTCGGACAACAAAGGAAACTATAGGGATTTGACCTAGGATGATGTTCTGGCTTTTGTTGGTGGGTTTGTGTTCCACCTGTAATGTAGAATAAAAGAGTAATGTAAAACTGTGTAGTCTACTCATAATCAAGTCACTCCACTCTTTCAGAAAAACATAATTTTTGTCAGCATCACTTTCTATAGGCATCACCTCACCAGGTTTAATAGTCACACAATTGAAAGCTCAGGAAACATTTGATTGAACTCAGCAACAAATGGAAAATATTTACGAGTACTTTAGAATGAATTTTAAATTATTTTACAAATGACAAATGTGTGATCAGGTCTGAAATTATATCCGTGGAGGGGGGTTCAGTCTGGCGTTTGTGTCACTAATAGTTTTCGTTTGTAAATTTCTTATGTTCGTCAACAGCTGCCACTGCAACCAACTCATAACAAAATCTTGTGTTTTTCTTCAGCTGTATGCCACCTAGTGGCAGGTGTTGATTTGTGCCATCAAACTGTGAGTTGAACTGTGTTTTATATAGCAGCTTACCGCTGCAATCCATAACCATCTACATTTTCAATATAGTCTTACCATTATCCCTTTACTGATGTCCCTGTCTACACAGCAAGAGAATATAACAAGATGGGATAAAGACACAGTGGGATGCAGGGGCAGAGGACACACCTGGCAGCCCCATTATACAAGGCAGCGCCATCTACTGAGGTGTGTACTGTATAACACACACTGCCTGCTGTGTGCCCGACCAAAGAGAATGTTAGCAAGGCCTCTCCTCCCAGCACCACAGTGCAAAGGTTTATCAGATGGCTGCAAATTATGTCCAAGAGTAAACATACCAAGAGAGACAGAAATTGAATAAAAATAAAATAGAGATCTGGGGCTTTAAACACAGGTCTATCAGGGGTAAAAGAAGTGATGTCAGTTATGGAAACCAGGCAGGTGGGATCCCTACAGTGGATATAAAGTGTCCACACCCCTGTTAAAATGCCAGGTTTTCGTGATGTAAAAAAATTAGACCATAATAAATTATTTCAAAACTTTTCCCACCTATAATGTGACCGATAACCTGTGCAATTCAAGTGAAAATCAAACTGTCTATTAGGGGGAAAAATATAATATATATATTATATATAAGTATATAATTTAATATAATAAGAAGTGTACAATAAGCTGGTTGCGTACGTGTGCACACCCTTAATGTAATACATTGGTGAAGCACCTTTTGATTTAATTACAGCATTCAGTCTTTTTGGGTACAGACCTGCCAACAATTAAAGTGACTCAGATTAACCCAAATAAAGTTCAGCTGTCCTAGTAGGATTTTCCTGACATTTACTCAGTTGCATCCTACAGCAAAAGCCATGGTTCACAGACAGCTTACAAAGCATCAAATGAATCTCATTGTTGATAGGTATCAGTGAGGAGAGGGGTAAAGAAAAATCCCCACAGCATTAGATATACCATGGAACACAGTGAAGTCATCAAGAAGTGGAGAAAATATGGGACAAAAAGTATGATGATGCAGAAACAACACTGTGCATCACCAGAACAATACCATACCCACGGTGAAGCATGGTGGTGGTAGCATAATTTTTTGGGGTTGTTTTTCTTGTTTTTCTTCAGCTGGTACTGGAGCTTTAGTCAAGGTGGAGGGAATTATGAACATTTCCAAATACCAGTCACTTTTGGCCCGAAAACCTCCAGGTGTCTGCTAGAAAGCTGAGGATGAAGAGGAATTTAGCAGGACAATGACCCCAAGCATACAGTACATCAAAATCAACAAAAGAATGGCTTCACCAGAAGGAAATTAAAGTTTTGGAATGTCCCAGCCGGAGCCTAGACCTACATACAACTGAAAATCTGTGGGGCGACCTGAAGAGGGCTGTGCACACGAGATACCCCTGCCATCTGACAGATTTGGAGCGCTTTTGCAAGGAAGAGTGGGCAAATATTGCCAAGTCAAAATGTGACATGCTAAAGGACTCCTACCCAGAAAGACTGAATGCTGTAATTAAATCATAGGTGCTTCAACAAAGTAGTAGTTTATGGATGTGCACACTTATGTAACCAGCTTATTGTATGTTTTTATTTTTTATATTTTCCCCCTAACAGGTTTGTTTGTTTTTCAATTGAATTGTGCAGGCTATAGGTCACATTAAAAGTGGGAAAAGTTTTTAAATGATGTATCATGGTCTAATTTTTTTACATCACAAAAACCTAGCATTTTAACAGGGGTGTGGACACTTTATATCCACTGTAGGCACAAGAATGTGATCCAGCCAGGGCTGTATCACCAGAAATCTAAGCAAGAGAGCTGAACTGTGCCAGAAACCTGGCCCTGTATCAGCTAAAAAGCTGGGTGGTTTTAGTGAAAACGTGGTGGGTGACCAGCCAGACTGACTCCCACGCCAAGTGGCCTACCCACACTCCGCAATTCTCACTCTGACTGGCACATCTGACTTGCAGGAGCCCTGCCTGCTCATGGGTCCTGCCCGATTGCTACAGCAGTCCTAGGTGCCTAAAACCACCATGCTACTGGGCTCAAAACAGCTTACAGCCATCAGACCGGTGTTCTGGAAGTCAACAAAGCATGACGTGAGAAACAAAAACACATAAACCCACCAGCAGGAGGAAGGAGGATGTCCTGAAGGCCCCATCAGTCATAGAAAAGGCAAATATCATCCATTCACCCCTGTCCCATAAAGATTACCAAGGAGAGCCTAGAGCCAGTGCCAGGAAGCCAAGGGCAGGGGGATCGGATTAAGCTTCAGTATCATAAGTACATCACTACTCAACTTATGATGAGATGTACTGAAATATTTATAGACTCCTCAGGAATGCTAACAGTGAAGTAAAAAGTTACATTAAGATGTTAAATATGTTGTCAATGAAAAATGGCTTAGAGCCAATATAAGCCAAATCCATATTCTACAAACAGGCTAAAAGTTACACACAATTTTCTTACAATCATACAAATATAAAGTACATTCACTCCTCATACACATAAAAGGTCAGTATATACATCTACCATCTAGAAAGTATATCTATTATATAATTATGTTTTGCTAAATTACATGACATTCTTGTTAGACTGAATTTCTTTGAATTAAAATTGAATCCTTCTTCCTGTCATTCCAATTCAAATTCGAATTTGTTAATGGAGTGAGCCTCCTCAGCCCTGCATTGGACAAGTGGGTACAGAGAATGAATGGATGGTTGGATGGAATAGGGCAAAATTCATAAAATGTGAATTTTGCACAACCCTGCTATTGGTCATTATGGAGTGCAATACTCTGCTATCTGCGCCATGGATCCAGGTGAAGGATAAAATACCAGCAGCTCATCTCACCTACTTTGCATCCTCCCAGTAGTGCAGTGACCTCCTGGGGGCGGCAGTGTCAGGTGTCTGTAACTAAGCTTCAGATTGGATGAGAGGAGGATGAGTCATGCTGCTCTGCATGCTAACGATGGATACGGCAAAGGACATAGCGGGCCCGCATCCCTGGCAGTCCATAGGGGCGGCACACAGGGTCGGGTCGCTTGGAGGGGAATGCTCCCCCCAAGCGGTGATGGAAAGCGTCTCTGAAGGCGTCATTTATTTCTGCATGTAAATTCATTTTATTTATGTATGTAAGTTCCGTGATAAGGATCTGAGCCCAATTAGGCATTATTTACTATTTAGTGACATGGTATGTCTATCACTGAGCTCTATCCTCATCTATGAGTCTTCTGGTGAGTCCCAGAAGACTCTGAAAAGTGACTCCATCAGGACTGTGGGTGTGGAGAGGTTCGATATCAAGGGCACTGTATTATTCAGCAGCCTGAGTGGGGGGCCCCCGACAGCCAAGCTGCCACCCGGCCTGGGGGAAGGGCTCGTCCCTATGGAATTAGCAGCAACACATCTAAATGGTCCTTCATTACAGAAACAGCTTTAATTGTGCTGCAAGTGAATGGAAAACTACCGAATATTATTCATTTCACACGTTCTTCGTAAGACTGGGATTCCTAATCCCGGCTCTGGAGGATTGGCTTTGGGTTTTTGTTCAGGCTGAGTTTAATGCATCAAGCAGGACCGAGCTGTTGATTGATTTCTGAGCAGGAGCTGGCGCATGTGGCTTCTGTCACACAGCAGTCCTTCTTTTAGGAGAGTATTTGCAGCATCTTCCATGCACGTTCCCCTGCATCTGCATCCCTCTTCATGTGAGCTGTAGGCTACTTTGTAAGCGGCCGGACAATAAATGTTCAGAACTCTACTGCCTGTTTACTTGCACGCACTAAAACATCTGCTCACATTACTCCTGCCCTCTGTGTAATAGCCCCTAAAATTTGGAATGCTCTTCCTCACAGTCTTTGTGAGGAAAAATCGATTATCCATTTCAAACTCCTGTTAAAAACACATCCCTTAAATGAATATTATTTGTCTTCTTGTATGTAATGTTTTGTTAAATGCTTTTTTTGTTGAATTGTAACATGTCCTTGAGTGTAGTAATTATTATTATTGTTATTCTTCTTCTTATTATTATTATTATTGTTATAAATGGGTCACAGTGCCCCTCAAGGAGTAGGAATACATCAAATTTATATGTACATACAACACTTTACATTATTTAAGATATATACTACATGTTCCCCTAAACATGGATAAGAAGTTAAACATTTTAATTAGTCATATGTTGAAACATTTAAATTTATATAAAATTTCAGTTACTTATGTAGGAAGCCATAGTTATTTTTCCTGAATTATCATATGGATGCTTAATGAATTTGCAAATCACGGTGTAAATACTTTAAGTTTTGTCAATAATTATATGTAGAAAAACAACAGTCCATAATGTCGTTCAGAAACAGGCATAATTAAACCCAGCTTTCTAGGCAACGTAAAAATGTTCAAAAGGCATTTCTCCCTGGAATGATCACTGGGACGTAGGGGTGTAAATCGTTGACCCTGAGGGATTTCCTTAGTTAATTTGTAGTTATATAATTATGTTCATTTAGTTCACTCATTTATAGCTTTCATATTTCTCATTTTTATATTTCTTTCTCTCCTTGCTACTCGCTCATCATGTTCTTTGCCTCTCATACAACTTACTCTCACCAAGGCCGTCTGACCCCCCAGCTCCAGGAGTCTGTATGAAGACCAGAGATAAAGGGGCTGCTTCCCCCAGGGGGGGCAGAGACAGACACAGACAGACACTGAACCGGCCGTGTGAAACATCTTTCTGTAACACCTTCATTCTGTCTAAATAAACTGCTTTAGTTTAAGGAACCTGCCTCATCATTCAACTAAAATTACCTGAGGTTTCACTGAAGAAATCTATCAGTTGGCATCATGAACAGGCTCAGTGAGAGACAAGGCTGAGAGACTAATTAATGCTGGATGACTGAAGACAATAATTAAGCACGCAAATCAACGGAGGTAAGATCTTCCTCCTGTCTTTGGTTGAAGGTTGAAAATAGCCTCTCCCCTGCTTAAACACCCAATCAGAGAGTTGTTTGATGAAGAAGAAGTAAACATTTGTGAGATATCTGTATTTGTTGTGCGCTCAAAAAAGATAAGTTGACTATAAAAAAGTTTTTCCGTTGCTGTAACGGGATAGAAACAGTTTGGGAAAATAAAAAACAGCCATTTACTTTTCGGGAAAAAACAGAAGAACAAAACAGTGCTTTCACCGTTTACTGTTTGGGATAAAACAGAGTTTACAGCTCATAATCTGTGGCTGTTCCATCAAACATGGTTTTATCTAGGAAATTTGGCAGTAGAATTAATGTTTCTGCAAGGCCGACCACTGAGAAGGGAGGAATGGAGCCTCCAGATGTCGATGTAGAGTATAAGATGAAAAATCTCAGTGAATATCTGGACACAGCTTGGTGTTTGAAGTCGACTGCTGCTGACATCCATGAGAAGTATGCTATCAATACAGATTCAGGTGGCATTTGGTCTTTGGATGACATGCGAAGAGTTGATGAACTGCAGAGCCGAGATGAGCAAAAATCATATTGCTTTGTTAACAAATCAGCAGCTAATGGCTTCGAATGCAGTAAACGCTAAGCGACCCCTAAGGGGTGGAGCAACCGCATGGGTGACTACACCTATTCCTTCTCCTCCTCCAACACCAGCCCTGCCTTTGACTGCTCTTCCACCTGTCCCTCCTGCACCCCCTCCGCCACAAGTGCCCATGCCAGCAGAGCGGCTGCATCCTGCTGAAGAAGAAGGATCGGAAAGAACAAAGCCTCACCCTGGCGGAAGAATTAAAGGCCACAATGGAAAAAAGAAGCAAAAAGATGAGTGCTCCCCCAGTGGTGACTCTGAGTACTACATCATCAGTGACTCATCCCAGTGCACCACCACCAGTGGTGTCTTCAAGCACTGCATCTCAAGTAATGGTTGATACATCTGCAAATGATGAGACATCAGAAGAAGAACCATTTGCTTGGCTCCTCTGAGAACAAAAAGAGTCAAGGCAAGAAATGAAGGGGTTGGAACATACACCTACCGGGATGTGTACATTCATGAAGTGGCAGACCTGGAGAAAATAGATAAATGCTCCAAAGAGCTTCCACATCTGAAAAAGGGGGGACTAAAGACATGGCTGCGCTCCTTCCTAGGACTGTGAAACTACAACAGGACATGGGTGGATTCCTACACCAAAATAGTTCAACCACTCAATGATCTACTGAAAGGCAGGAAAGACTCCAGAGATCATGTTGAGATGAATGAACTTCAGCTGAAGGCTTTCCAAGAGATGAAAGACGCACTGTGCAAAGCTCCGGCCCTGGGAATTCCAGAAACGGGCCAGCCTTTCATCTCTAATGTTCATGAAAAGAGTGGCTACATGACAGCAGTTCTAACACAAGATCATGGTGGCCTGCAGCGACCAGTAGGCTACTATTCGGCAAAATTGGATGATGTTGCTCTCAGATGGGGGCCATGCCTGAGAGCCGTCCAGACAGCATACATGGCAGTCATCACTGTCTCAAGCCTGGTGCTGGATCAAACTCTGGTGGTGAGATGCCCATATGCTGTCCACACTCTCCCAACAATAAGCAGAGCATCACAAGTCACAGCAGCCCATTGAGCTAAGTGGTGAACTGTCTTGGAAGCACCCAACATTGTCATTGAAAAGGCTAGTTCAAACAACCCTGCCACCCTGTTGCCAGAGTACAGAGAAGACATTGATCACGACTGTGTGGAAATAGTAACTGCCATGGAAGAAGCTGCCCACACTCAAAAAGCGCTACTGCATAATCCCAACCTGGTGTTGTATACCGATAGTTCCTCAATGGTCGAGGGGGGTGTGAGATGTGTTGGATGGGCAGTAACGACAGACACGCAGGTAACTGCGAGTGGCAGTATGCCTAAAGGCACATCGGCACAACAAGCTGAGTTAAAAGCACTAATTGAAGCATGCAAAATTGCAGAAAATCAGTCAGCCAATGTGTACACAGATTCCAGATACGCATTTGGAGTTGTCCGTGATTTTGGACTCCTGTGGAGACAACGTGGTTTCCTAACTGCAGCTGGGACACCAGTGAAAAATGGACAATTAGTTGGATTACTGGATGCTATCAAACTTCCTGCTGAGCTAGCAATCCTGAAATGCAAAGCTCACACCAAAACTGACACAGTGGAAAGTCAAGGAAACGCACTTGTAGATGGAAGCGAGAGGTGGTGACACAAAAAGTGACACAGACTTTGATGTGAAATGTAAACAGCTAAGAACGGTGACCAAACATCTTGATGACATCAAGGATATGCAGAGCAACAGTCCTGCTGACAAAAAATAGTCATGGATGGAAAGAGGCGCGAAACTTCACAAAGATGATGTATGGAGATATGGAGACGGACCCAGAACAGTGGCCCTGTTATCACTACTTCCCTACCTAGCGTACCAAATTCATTCAGTAGGTCGCCTTGGTTTGGAGAAAATGGTGCATTGATTCAGTCAACACTGGTGAAACCCACAGTTCCGATCACAAGCACAGCAGGTGGTGCGACAGTGTCTGACCTGTCAGAAGAATAATGCAGGTCCAGGAACACCGACACCAGCTCTAGTGGCGGCTGCTCCACCTGGTCCCTTTCTCCATCTCCAAGTGGACTACATCACTCTGCCGAAAAGTCACGGTTATTCAGATGTACTTGTCATTGTGGACAAATTCTCGAGGTGGGTGGAAGCAGTTCCCTGCCGAAAAGCCACAGCCACACACACCGCAAAGACACTGGTCAAAGACTACATTCCACGCTGGGGCCTAACATGCCAAATTAACTCAGACCAATGAACACATTTCACTGGAGCAGTCTGTCAAGAGATCAGCCAACTCATGGGCATTGAATGGTCATTCCACTGCCCTCATCACCCATAGTCATTGGGACAAGTGGAGAGGATGAACAGAGTCATCAAAAACAGGCTGTCCAAATATCATCAGGAAGGAGTGCCTTGGCCTCAGGCACTGCCAATCGTTCTCTGCAGCATCAGGGTGACAACCAATAAAAAGACTGGTTTGAGCCCATTTGGGATCATTACAGGGCGTCCGATGCATCTTCCCGACAGCATAGATCTGAAAAAAGCAGACATTCACCTTGCTGGTTGCTTCACCTAGCCTGGTTGATTATTGCATTAAGCTCATCAGTGCCGTTCAGTCTGCCTTTCAACAGGTTTCTGATGAGTGGGAAGATCCTGTCATACTCTGGTACCTGGTGGGTGGGTACTGATCAAGAAACACCAGAAAGAACCGCTTGGGGCTAATTGGGAGGGCCCATATCAGGTACTGTTAACAACAAACTCAGCTGTTAGAGTGTGTGGTAAAAGAGATCTAACGTGTTAATTAAGGTGATGTGCTAGTAACCTCTCCCTTAGTAGCCTACCCGCATATGGCCCTTTGCGGATAAGATTGGGCACCCCTGAACTAAAAGAACCTGAGGTTTCACTGAAGAAATCTATCAACCCCAAGGCGATTCTATTCTATTATAATCATTGAGGCATCTTGAATTTCTGTCACAATCCATTTTTTGACGGATTTGGTAACCTAATTTCCAAACCTTTTTGTAGTAAAAAACGCAGATACACTAATGGTGGGTCTATATACCAGAGGTATTCAAACTGCACTTGCGTGGTGCTTGGGAAACTGTCTAATGTGGTGTACCGGGTTCGGACAGGCACAGGGAACTCGGCTGCTGTGGTGCACAGGGACAGGCTAGCACCATATCACCCAAGGCCACACTGGCATCTGCAACCATGCCTGCCCTGAGCTTCCAGGACTTTAGCCAGAACTAGAGGTAGGATTTGCCGAAATGGTTGGTGGGACAGCTGACCCTCTAAGGGGGGCTGTGTGAAACCAGCAAACTGCCCCCTGCTCTAGTATGTGGTTGCATCACTTAATTTTCATGTGCTGGCATGATTTACTCCGGATTGTAAATAGTTGAAATGTTGAACCTGTTTAACATAGAAGGTGTTATTTCCAGATGCTGAACTACCCAAAATACACCGAACCAGTCTGTTCCACCTCAGAGACTGCCTGGCTTGTCGGGCCTCATGATATGCCATGTAAACTCGGACTTGGAATGTGCCCTTATTTGGGAGAAGGTGTGATACTGGGAGCATGGGAAGAGGAGATTCACCAACGCTATCAGCCCTGGGATGACAATACACCATAGGGCAGCCTGTACCTCTGATCCTTCAGTGTGAATTCAGGGGGAGCTGCTGACTGAGCAGCAGTGGTGGCGCCTTTGGGCGCGTGCAGCCAGTCCCGACACGCAGCTGGAAATCTGTGCAGACGCCTGCAGGTACAGAAACACGTGTTTCTTAAGATCTGGCACTAGTTTGCTTTTATTATTACTTAATTATAAACGGTGCAATTTGCTATAGAAAAGTACACTATAAATTTCTTGTGATTATTTGTTAATAACAGTCTGTGAATTATATGAATTAGGTGGTTTTGGGATGATGATCCAGGCAGGGATCACAGTCACTGCCAAAGTTATGTATGATGTGATTAATATAAAACCAAGCGGTTTCTCCCTGCATCTTCAACAACTTCACTGAGTGAAACACCAATATAGAACTTTGCAATAGGCGAGGGGACCATCTGTAGTAAAACAGCTGGTTTTATGAAATCTACCATTTTGTCTGGCTTAGTTGACCAGCTAGGCAGGCCAGGTGAAATTGAAATAATGAATAATTCAAATACCAAAAGCTGATGACACTGCACGCGAACAAGTCTGCTGCTTTATTAAGGGGATTCCAGGATGCCTTGAATTAGCGCTTATATTAAAAGCTGTAGGTCATGCAGCAAAACAAAACCTGGACCAGTCCATCCTTTTTATAATCCTCTCTGGATGGATCCAGTTGCAATTTCCCTATGAAACACAGGTGGTGTAAATGACGGATGAAAAAAGGTACCCATTTCAAAACTGTTGATGTGCATTTGGAAGTAGTTTCGTAGTCCTGTGATAAAACCTCATGGTGTTCAGCCGTTCGCTTGTTAATCCAAGATGCAATACTGGCCCTAGCTGATGTGGTGCTCTAGGCAAGAAGAGAAATTGGTTGGAGGATATTATGGCTCTGGGATGTGCAGGGCTGGTTTTGCAGATGATGACATCCCCATCTACTGTAGGATGGCCCAGGCAGCAGCTGACATCTGTTAGCACCCCCCCCCCAACCCAACCCAACCCAATAGGCTCCGTTTGCAACCTAAACTGACCAGCATTCCTGGTCTTCATCTCAGGGTGATGGTAAGAATGGGATAGAAGTACAGCTATGCTGGTGATGAGGCTCAGAAAAAGGGGTGCCTTGACCCAGAAATACCCTATCAAGCATGGCATCCTCACCAACTGGGATGAGATGGTGAAGATCTGCCAACTTGTGGGGGCGCTGTGTGGCCCAGTGTGTAAAGAAAGATTCTGTGCCCATGATTGGAAGGTCACTGGTTCAAATTCACCATTGGGCTGCTGGGCAAGGCCCTAAACTCCTCAGTGTCTTGATGAGTTAATGGAATTCAAGGATTGTTCAATTGTCTAGCTAGCAATTGAACAAAAGGCTAGCAGCATTTACAGCTCTCCACTCAAAATCTTGTGCTGGAAGCTTCAAGCGTGGAGCATTGGGCCTCAGAGCCTCTCCATATCTTTCGTCAGCCCTGCACCACAGAATTACCTTCAACACTAGGGTCCATGGGCCATGTATGTGGGTATAAAGGCCATGCTGTCCCTGTATGTCCCTGGTCATACCACAGACATGGTGATGGACTCCTGTTATGATATTACCCACCTGGTGTCCATCTACAAGGATTATGCCCTGCCACACACCATCCTACGTCTGGACCTGGCTGGTCGTGACCTTATTCACCTGATACCTCATGAAGATCCTGGCCTAGATAGGCTACAGCTTCACCATGGCCCAGAAGGAACTCATGTTAATGTACCTGAATTCAGCTGAATTCTGGTCCATTGAGTAAATCAATGAGATTTAAAACAGTTATGAACCACTGGGAATGCTAGATATTGCAGCTGTTTAATGTTCTTCACGAAACTAAAATCCTACCTCCTCACTGTGGCGGACAGTGACAAAACCCTCCTCAAATTCTACCAGCTGCTCACTTTCATACTCGTCCTGGAGCTTATATAAATATTAGACAACCTCTTCAGCATTATATAAATGAATCATGTTATACATCCTGCTGACCACGAGCAAAATAAGGCAAACCCAGGTGATACAAATATAAATTTACACATTCAAATGTACAAGATTTTACGGATTTATGCTATATTTAACATCACTCGCTAGGTAGCGCCGTCGTCGCAGTTATGGCACGGAGGACCATTTAAGGGCTTTCAAACAGTAGCTGCTGAAGCGAAAGGAAATGTCGGGGGACGCGCGCCAAATGCCGTCACTATGCTCGCGTGAGCGCGATCGGAGCGCAGGTGAACAGAGCATTTGTTAAAGTACAACTGCTACTGTACGTCGCTTTACTGCTCCTGTTAATAATGCAAACCAGCGCGCCCGGCGTCATCGAAGACCGATGGAGGGGTAAATAAATCACACCATACAGTACGTTTTATAGCAAAGCAGGAAAATGTGATATTACAACACCACGCTTGTTACTGCGCCCCGATGACAGGCTCACGTGCCCCTCTACTCTCTTTCACACGGCTGCCTCAGTGCTCCGCTCTAAGAGCACGCATTAATAGTTTAATAGTTCAGCTATTAAAAATTAAACACCTGAATCCATTTTGTTCGCTATTCGATTTTCATATACATATGTACATAACTGATACAAAACCCACCGAAAATCAGAGAATGGCGATTTTTCACGATTTTAACTCCATCTATAGTTACAGATATGATGCATTTAAGTGATATTTTACAACGGTCCCGCGGCAAGCAAACAAGAATCGCAAAGGCTTAATGGAGCTAACAGAATTTCAGATGTTTAAAAAGCTCTTACCTTATTTTATTAATTCACCTATGAATAATTCTGTTGGCCATAAAAATGTGCAATTTTGCCTCTGACCGGCTAATCTCCACCCCCAATAAACCACTTTCACACACCTACATAAGCGGCTCGTTTAATAAAACTTTAAGATACTTAATCCAGTTTTATATTTGTTGACCTGTGAAGTTTTCTCCACAAAGCATATGATATCATTATATCGATTGATAGATTGTAATAGCAAATCACAAACAGAACCTAAACAACCACCCTTAAAACGCAAAAAAGTGTTCCCGTACATCATAACACAGCCATTCTCCACGATCAAACCCAATTCGAGAGTGAATTAGGGGTTAATCAATGACTTTTTCCGAGGAAATCTTGCGTATTTCTCCTTCAGCCAATCCGCATTAAGAAGACGTGTTGTAGTCGTCGCCGATTGGCGAGCCAGGTAAATGAATAGTCGTCCTTGTCCATGCAGCTTGTGTCCCACGTGGGGTCGCCTGTTATTGCGCTGTGTCTCCGCGAGCCGCACCCGTCGCTTCATCACACGCCACAGCGGCTGGCTGAGCCGCACTATCGCGGATTCGGTTCGTGTTGCTTAGCTGAACATATCCTTTCGCGATCACAAAACGGCTGCGCTAGTTGAGCAGCGCTCAGGTCTTTTCGGAAATCTAAGTGATATAAAACATAAGTTACCCGTCGATTGCACGTTTCCAAATCAGTCGGTTAAACTATCTCCCTAAATGTCGTGGACGTAAACCGTTTTATTTGCTACCGATTGAAACGTATTCCTATCAGATTTTTTTTTTTTACGCGTAGTCCCTATATATGGTTCTTTTTTTGAATGTGAGTCTTTCATCTTAAGGTAGCATAACATCTAGTGTTTTAAAATAAACAAATAAACATTAAATCGATATTAACCAGATAAAGATTGTTACTTCTCAAAAGACAAAACGAGAGGTTGATGTTAATTAAAACAGACGAGTTAAGAATAACTTCATGGTTATTAAACTAGCACAATGTTAAAATGTAATTGTTGTCATAGATTATCTACATGCTAAATTAAGTTCCAAGATGATGGATCTAGTATACTGTACAACCTTATGCGTAACTGGTCCCATGTGTTTGTCATGGAAGTTCCTCAAAATTGGTTTTCTAAAGCAAGACTAAACGGTAGCTGACAAAAATAACAGTGGAGTAGTGACGGTATTAAATAGTGCTAAATATATGTACGTCTGACCTGCAGCTAGTGTAACAAATATCACAGTTTACCAACTGATGCAACCTTTAGTTAACATGTTTAAAATAATAGGCTTTAACATTGATACAGATTTTACTTAGAGAATCAGTTGATCGTAATGACTCGCACGTTTCTTGGAGGTAGGTTGTAATTCATGTATTTCAGATGAACAAAAAGCGAATTAGGAAAACTGTGACTGCTTTCCAGCTCCGTATGGTGAGGCCTAGGTAACTGCAGCTCCTATAATCCTACAAGTTAATCAAATCTCAAAAATTGCAACAAGGAGAAATACTTACAGGCCTGTTTGTATGTTTCTCTATGACTACCCTCTTTTGAAGTCACATTGGAGAGAAAAATGGAATGTGATATGTGTCATTTTCTCTCTTTTTTACTTTTATTTTAGTCTGCGAAGGTTGTCAGATTCAAACACATTAGATTTAGTTTCTTGGTGAAAAATTCTGTGACAACTTACATTTCAAGAAAAGGAAAAAAAGAATTTAATTCTGGTCATATTTATTAGGTGTGACCACCTGCAAAATCAGATGAACCAAAGACAGAAATGCATATTAACAAGACTGAATGTGTGTGGCCAGAGATCTAGGTGTGTTGGTGCCTCCTGTTGTCAGAGATGTCTCATATTTCATAATGGCACCAAGCAGTTCAGCCTAGAGGATGTCAAACCAGCATTCAAATCCTCTACATTTCAGCACCTGCATACCTATAGGAGGTTTTCAAGTTACATCACACTGTATCATTCACATCAAGCAAAGGCCGTCATTGCCATATTGGTGCTGTTATGATCTCCCCCCAATCTAGCGGTTTGGGGTGTAACAGAATAGGCATGTGCATGTGTGTGTACAGAATAGGGCACAGGAGTCAATAGTATAGCAAACCTGGAAGTGTATTTACCTGTACAAAGATTGCTGGCACCACAGTGTATTTACAGGACTCAGGAGTGACCCACGCCAAAACAACAAATAAAACAAGCTAATGCCATAAATTCAACCTACCTTTCCTGAACAAAAACAAAAGTACAATCACTTCCCCTAATCTGCCTAGCCAACACGTAGAATAAACAGAAATAGACAGACCAAAAGAATAGGCAGTCACTCCCTACATACACTCTATCACAATCACTCTTTCAAAGCATCAAAGCCAAGGGCTGGGCTTAATCGTAGTCGGAATGCAAAGCTAGAAAGTCGGTACACAGAAAATCAAGCAAAGGATTAGCGATAGTACCAGGGGCAAACCAAAAAGTGAGTTACCGGGCAGCAAACAGAGGTCACACACGAGTCGGCAAATCATAATTCAAAAGCATGACAAAGTATGCCAGCAAGAGCACCTGTTGGTTTCGGTGTAGTTGGTCATTTTCTGCAGAAGATCCGAAAATGATGACAGCAGATTGAACGAATTTTAGTCGGAGCTCCGAGTGAAGCCAACGAATTGTCGGTCAAGTCACTAGCCGGGCGTCTTGACGCAGCATCAGTCGAAGCAACCCAACATGGAACAAAGCTTCCGGCACTTAACAGAGCATATAGCACTTTAGGGCTGATATATACTTGACGCTCACAATGCATAAGTATATGCATCATGGCCACCATGCATTGCACCTACATGAAGAGTTACATGAGATGCGGTACACCAAAAATTGGGATGGCAGTATGGTCACCTTTTGTCATGGGACTATGTGTTTATATATGGTAGTAACATCTGATTTTTTAAGAATGAATAGCTGGAAGAACTGGATATTTTCAGAGACGAGAGAAAATTTTGCGAGCATTATTGTGTCTCTCTGTGTAACCCATCTTAATTTAATGGTAGTTTAAGTTTCTACGAAAGCAGTATAATGTGTACGAAGTACAATGAAACTAACTTGAAATTCTGACTTGCCTACTTTCATAAGCAATAGATTTTCGGAATTTATAAATCTTAGTTATAAAATTTCTCGAGCATGTGGTTTACATTTCGCTACAATATTTATTTTGTTATAGGAAACAAAACTTAGCAAGCTGTGCGATTTTTTTTTATTTAGTAAATAAGAACATAAGAAATTTACAAACCAGAGGGGGCCATTCGGCCCATCAAGCTCGTTTGGGGAGAACTTAACTAATAGCTCAGAGTTGTTAAAATCTTATCTAGCTCTGATTTAAAGAAACCCAGCGTTTTAGCTTCTGCTACACTAGCAGGAAGACTATTCCATACTGTAACTACACGCTATGTAAAGAAGTGCTTCCTCAAATTTGTTTTAAAATGTTCTCCCGCTAATTTCCATTTATGGCCACGAGTTCTAGTATTTAAACTAATATTGAAATAGCCATTTGGCTGAACAGCATCCAGACCCGTTAGAATCTTATAGACCTGGATCATGTCCCCCCTTAGTCTCCTTTGCTCAAGGCTAAACAGATTCAGCTCAGCTAACCTCTCCTCAAAAGACATTCCTCTAAGACCAGGAATCATTCTCGTAGCCCTCCGTTGCACCTTTTCTAAGCAGCAAACTCCTTCTTAAGGTATGGTAACCAAACCTGCACACAATATTCTAGGTGGGGTCTTACCAAGGAATTATATAAATGTAACATCACCTCCCTTGACTTAAACTCCACACACCTAGAGATATAACCCATTTTTTATTGCTTCCCCACACTGGCGAGAGTGGGACATGGAGGCATCAACATACACACCGAGATCTTTCTCGTAATCAGCTACCTTTATTTCAGTGGAACCCATAAAATATCTGTACTTTATATTTCTGCTCCCTGCATGGATTACCTTACATTTATCTGTGCTAAATTTCATCTGCCAAGTATCAGCCCAGTCGCTAATTAAATCCAGATCCCGTTGTAGCCTCTCTGCTGCTAGATCAGTATCTGCTACACCACCCACCTTGGTGTTGTCTGCAAATTTAACCAGTTTACTGTATGTATTGGTGTCAATATCATTAATGTAAATTAGGAACAATAGTGGTCCTAAAATTGAACCCTGCGGTACCCCACTATGAACGCAGGCCCACTGTGACATTGTGCCTCTAATAACTACTTCCTGCTTCCTGTCAGTTAACCAGTTTTCGATCCAAGCTGCCAGTTCCTAAAATCTCTGCTCTTTAGCAAGAGCCGTTTGTGGGGGACAACATAAAAGGCCTTCTGGAAATCTAAGTAGATCACATCGTAGGCCTTTTTGTGATCAATTTCACTTGCAGCTTCCTCAAAGAACTCAAGTAGATTAGTTAAACAGTATCTACCTCTCCTAAATCCAGTTGGCTGTCCTTCAGAATGTTATTTGCATCCAGGTAATCTACCATTTTCACTTGGATTATAGCTTCCATTATTTTTCCAGTAATGCTAGTTAAACTGATTGGCCTATATATAAATGTTTAACATTAATTTAAAATTCACCACTGCTGCTTTTGCATGAGCTCCACTTGCTCTCTTCATGCCATTCCTAATCATTTTCATCCTTGCTGTTTAAATCACTCATGAATAGACGTGTTTGTGGGAAATTGATTTCTTTTTAACATTTTTTTTCTTTATAAATATTCTAATACTTATTGCAGAAATTCATATGTAGTGAAGTGACTGTGTCTAACTTCTTTCAGGTGCTTCCAGTTTTAGAGCCGGAAGAGACTGGGGAGGCAGGAGGGTCCTTGGGCACTGAGGAAGAGGGAGGTTGTGGTAGTAGGGGATTCAATTATTCGAGGTATAGATAGTTATGTATGCACCTGTGAAAGAGGGTCCTGTAAGGTGTCTTGCCTGCCTGGTGCCTTTTGGCCCCAACCGGGATGGATCCAGTGGTCGTGGTGCATGTTGGCACCAACAACATAGGAAAGGGCAGGAGGGCTGTTCTGCAGGATAAATTTATAGAAGTCGCAGATAAGCTTAGAAGCAGAACATCCACGGTGGTATTCTCTGGGATACTTCCCGTGCCACGTGCAAGTCAGGCAAAGTTAGCTGAGATAAGGGGATTAAATGCGTGGCTAAAATGGTGGTGTAGGAAAGAGGGGTTTAGGTTTATGGGGCACTAGAAGACTTTCTGGAACAGGTGGGACCTGTTCAAGCCGGATGGGTTTCATCTGAACCAGTGGGGAACCAGTGTATTGGGGAGGCGTATGTGTAGAGTAGT